GGACTGGGTGTTACTCTCGTATAAACCCAGTCCTCTAGCAGCTTCACTGGCTTCCCATCGAAGTCTGGGCTCAATGCTGGTCATTACCTATGAAGCCCTTAATGGCTTGGGACCTGGATACCTAAAGGAACACCTTCTTCCGTATTTGCCCTACTGCCCCCTGAGATGGGCGGCAGAGGCCCTCCTCCGGGAACCCTCCATGAAAGACATCAGGAGGCAAAGTACCCGGAGGATGGCCTTCTCTGCGGTGACGCCCCACCTATGGAATGCGCTCCCCAGAGAGGTCTGCCTGGTGCCGTCGTTATTTGTTTTTCGGTGCCAGGCTAAGACCTTTTTATTTCAACAATATTTAATAACTTTTAACATCAGCTTATAGGTTTTAATCTGCAGCCAGTGTGGATCTGGATTTTATTTGTATTATGTTTTATTTTATTTTATGTAAGCCGTCCCGAGGCTTTGCGATGGGATGGCATACAAATACTCTAAATAAATCAACAAATAAACCAATATATGTATTTTTCTTGATAGGCTCTTGCGGAGATTTCTGTATTTGGGTGAAACCTCATGTTTTGAAGAGTGCACAGCTGTGTATGAATGTGTGTGTTCAAAATCTGATACATTCATTAAGCAGATGATGGAACGAAAGATGCCTGATAATCCCTAAAATATAGATAGAAAGGATTTAACATGTCTGTACATCCCTACTTTTAACAGGGGAATACCTAAAGTAGTTTCATAAGAACTGTACACCGTCACCCAGTTATTTAATGGCATTAGAGAAGGCAAGCGTGCCCTGCAGGACTGAAAGAGTGCTGCTTTTTTGTTCATGAATGACTTAGAAATGCGACACTAACGTAATATATATTCCTTGTTCTGATGTCCCTGAATAGTAGTGTCATAATTGGAAAAGAAGACAAGCATAATCTCCGGTATATGTGGACATATGAGCAGAATACCTTTGCTAATTAATGAGTGCCTTATCGAGCGGATTCTGTATTACGTTGTTGCTTGTGTTAGACTTAAATGATGATTGGGGGTTTCTCAGATATGACATGTCTGTCTGATTGTGTCTGAAGAAGGCTGTCTGGAAGAGCGAGCTGGGGGGGGCGTCTGTAGTGGCAGTTTTTGACAATGAATTGAGAGAGAGCGATGATGATGATGATGATGATGATGGTCCTTAGCATAGCGAGTTTAGCTTCAAATGGCACAAGCCCCCCTGCATTGTCACATGAGAAGTTTGGGGAATAATACAGGAGACAAGAGACCAAAAAAATGAGCCTCACAATTAAAATGGCTTCTGAACTTTGCAGCCAGTTTTAGGGTTATATTTATGTTTTACAGACTTAGTGCTTTGAGCAGGCTCAGGTGGGGAATATACATTCGGATGAATCACTGGGTAGAATGAAAAAGTTAAAGTCTGGTTGTTATTATATAGGCAGGGTGCAAATATAATTGCCTCATGTCATTTCAATATGCAAAGATCCTGATACTACATTACCAAACTTCTTACTGTGAGGCTATGAATTTTAATCCCCAAGCATGTGTTTTAAAGCGGCAATACCTTGTTTTTAGGTACAGACTGGCTGCTATCCTGAGGATAAAAAGAAGCTGCCTTGGGTTCCTCATAAGAGGAAACAAGGCGGGATATGAATGTGGCAACAGTGAGAGCAGCAACAACAGAGATGCATGGATTGGCCTGGGAGCATCCCGTGACGCTTCCTTGGTGACCTCGCACGCCAACAGTTTTCGCTGATTAGCTCTGCAAAGAAGGCATAGAATGGCTAGGGATTCCGAACGGATCCATCACCCCCTCTCCACCTGCGCTGTTCAGCATGTTCAGGAGGAAGCATGAGGAATTCTGTGCTTGGCCAGCCTCCGATGTGACTGTATTCCATGTTAGACCTCATCCTCTTGCGTTGGATCCCCTCTTCCATCATGAGTCTTTTGAATTTCCTTCTTCCTGGGTAGCTTATGGATCTGCATCTCAAGGCTTTTCTGCCAGATCCAGCACAAATGTATCAGTGCCGGATCAGTTTGGCATCAAAGAGTAGTGCCACTTGCAGATCTGTTGCAAACCGGTTGCTCAAAGTACAGGCCTCCTCTCTGTGCCCCCAGTTCAGTACGTGCATGTATGTTAGATGAGTCATCGTGTAGAAAAGGCAGCCCACCACCTGTTCAGGCTGCCTTCCAGGAGAAAGATGAGCCCAGCAGCTGTTCAAGTTGATGTACCGGAGGCTTTTGCCTCTCTTTCGGAGCGTGGAGTTGAAAGGGAGATGGAAGATCGTGCAAGCTGGGCTTGTGCTACCGGCAGGGCCATACAGTGAAATAACCCTTGACTACTCTGTGAAGGCTGCAGCTCCATGATAGAGCATGTGGTTTGCATGCAGAAAGTCCCTGCTTCAGTCCTAGGCTGGGCTGGGAATGTCTTCTGGCTGGAACCCTGGAGAGCTGCTGCCTGCCAGAGCTGACAGTACTTAGAGTCCCAGGAAGCTGGTCATTATTCGTGTGTGAAACCCTGTAGAGTGCTCTGACATTTTTCACACCTCCACAACAACAGAAGGTTGGCAAAGGAAGTGTGCCTTCATCCAGTGAGCTTCATAGCTGAGTCAGGAGCTGAACCCGGGTGCCGTGCTGTCGGCGGTCTCGCTTTGTGCATTAACTTCCCACAATATGATCCATTTAGATATGTTAGTGGAATTATGCAGAATATATTTTGATTTGCTAAACAAACTATCTACAGTCCTGCCGAGGTTGTGATGTGCCACTAACGGTCTAGTAAAACAGCTTGGTTCTTTCGGGCAAGTGAGCCAAATCTCATGCCAGAGTGAAGAGAGTCACATCTCATTTGGGCAATACCCTTCAACCTCCCAGTTCCCAAGATACTTATTAATTAAAACAAACCCCACAGGCTTAGTCTAATGAAGAGAATGTTCCTGGTCATCTGCAACAATATAACAAAACCCTGCTAACGCCAGTATTACTGATGAAAGCTTAAAAATTTCTGTTTTACCTCCCTAGCACCAGCAGTTGTATTGAACTCTGTACCAACACTTAGTAAAACTAGCCACTTTTATTTCATGAGCAGAGCATCTTGTGTCATGCTTGTGACAATTGGTGGTGCTTTGGCTTGCACTGTGGATGACCTCGTTGCCCTTCAGCATCTTTGGTGTGTTGGGATGGGGGCAGGAATAGGAAGCATCCTTCTGTTATCTTAAGATTGTTCATTAATCTGTATTTTTTTATGCACAAAGCACACTGAGATGGCAGAGAAGCACTAAAAATTACACAACATATGCACCGTAAGTTTAGCCTCTGTCTCTCGAGTGCATATGCAAAAGGTTCACAGAAGGCAGCGAGGTCCAGCCCGTTGAGCCATCTTGCAGATTAGAGTAGTTCATGCACTCCTGGTAGAACACGCTTTAAAAGTAGGCATCGCTCAGCATGTAAATGCGTGACTGCAATCCAATTTTGTGGAAACAGCCTTTGGTGTTGGCTACATGCTTCAGTAAATCTGCTTTTATAGGCAATAAATCTGAACCAAAATTATCAGCAGAACCAGATCACTCAAGTTTTGCAAGATTTCAAGCTTATTTTAAAACTGAAAATAAAAGACCAGAGAAGAATGAACTTGTGTCACATACAGCATGTGCGTATCTGATTTTTCTTTCCTCCCCACTCTTCCTTTGCCTTGGGGACAATAGTCTTGGCATATATCATTAATTTTAAGCACTTTGCTTGCAGTATTAATAAATCAGCTCTCCCCACCTCCCCTTGCCATGAGAAGAGGCTTCTCTGTTGCTTAAAAGATAGGTATTAAGTACCTGTCCTTGAAGTAGGATCACTGGATGAGCAGCCAAGCATCCTTCAGCTCCATATGAGTCCATATACTTTGGAAATAGGCCTACAGCTGTATTTTACGGTGCAGCTGATGACTTGAAAACCAAACACTTAGGAGGTACCACTTCTGCTAGCATGCCTCCGCTCCCCCAAACTGTAAATGAAACTGAACAGAAATAGCAATAATTAAACAAAAAGTACTCTAGCCACTGTTGCCTTTTCCTTATATATGAATTACTCTCTGAGGAGACATTCAGCCATGCTGCTGAGCAGAAGTCTGCCGTGGTGACATTCTGCCATGAGAAACGCTTACTCTCACGTCCATAAAATTCAATGTGAAGTCCAGTCGCAAACGTACCTTTCCAGGAGGTTAACATTGATAACAGGAGCTGTTCTAGATGCATCTTCACATTGGTTGCGCTGTCTCTTGATCGGGAGCAAAACTGTTCCTCTCCTCCTGTGTCCACCATACCCTGCTGCCTGCAAAACCCTCGCCTTCACAAAGAGGATAAATTGTGTATTCCTTCCCGTGTGTGTTTCCTTTTGTGCACACACACATAGCCCTGGTAGCTCTCTGCCCCTGGAAGTCGCCAGCAAATGGACCACAGAAGGGGGGCTGACTGTGATGGGCACCTGCGTGTCTGGCTGCGTCGTCAGGACTTAAGGCAATTTGTGCGCTCTTGGTGGAGGGGGGGGGGTGCTCTGTTTGACTGTTGATCGCGTCCCTGCAAGGACGGTTATTAGCTGCACGTTGCTCTCCATTTCCCTGCTGCAGACAGAAGACGGAGAGCAATATCCGTGCTCCCAGAGCGTATTGTAAAATGCATGAAGTTTTTCCTTATCTCGTCTGGAAGTCGAGGGTAGGAAAAATGAGAGCACCTTGAAGGCAAAGCTGTCTGGAAGGACAGGCAGGAATCTGCAGAAATGTATCCTTGCGCTTTCATTTGGTTTCTCTGACTGCGGATTAGACAAGACTGTCCTTTTCTCTCTTCCCCCCCTTTAAAAAAAAAATTGTTTTTTTGCAGTAGACTTTTTGCAGAATGGCATTCTTGCATTGTTTGGCATGCACGGAAGGAAAACAAGCTGCTGTGTTTGGTCACTGATCTCTTAGTGGTGTGGCCCAAGGCTATGCTGAAATTTCTCTCCCACTTGTATTGTTGCAGCTCAAACGAAGACTGTTCAGAGGATGACAAGTGTATTCTGAGTCGGTATGTGACTTCATTTTCATTATGGAACCCATCTCCCCCCCCCACTTCCTCTTTTTCCCCTTTTCCTGCTAGTATTGGTCGGAAATCAGGTTAATAGGTACAGAATATAGAACAGTGCTGCAGTGTGACTGTGAAGGCAGAACAATAGCAGTACAAGCTTGTTCCTGGGGTGGGGGGGGGAGGAGGCGATCTTTTTATAGAATAAAGCTGCATTGTGGTGGCTTGTACAGTGCAGTCTCTCCCTCCCCCTTCCCTCTCCTTTGCTTTTTTGAACATATACTGCAGTCAACACTTCTCTAATGAGGTGGCACGATTTGCGAGTTGGAGCAATAGAATCGCCTTATTGCTTTAGGGGATGGCAGGGCTGGAAAGAGATGCCTCGCAGCCTCCTTTTCTGGATTGGAAGCCTCGTTTAAGGTCATTGGCAAGCTTGCTTGGCTTGTTCCCAGCAGCAGCAGCAGCAGCAGCACCCTCCGTTGTGCCAGTAGCGAGTGTCTGGAATGGAAGTCCAAGTTGGTAGTCTGTTATGGAAACGCTGTTTGCTGTTATTGTAGTATCGTGGTGACCAACATGCCATTGAAATGGAAAACGAGTTCTCCTGCGATCTGGAAATTCCCTGTTCCTGTGCTTAAAACATCCAGGTCGTCGCCACTTTCTCCAGCATACATGTAAGTGAGAGAACTGAGGATATCTTAAGGTGGGCTTTCTTTTGCAAGATTGCAACCCCTCTGTGGGCTTTTGTTTTGTGAAATTTAACCCCCCCTTAATGGTGATATATTTTCTGATGTGACATTGGTCTCAGGATTTTTATTTTTAACCTTGCATTTTTCTCCTTTATAGAGCATCCAAATTTAAACCCTCCTTTTGTTGTCAGTTTCCCATTTCTTCTCTACCCCCCCCCCACCCCATGATGGATGTTGTGTTAAGTCGTTCCTTTGTTAGAAAAAGCAGAGAAATGGTCAGGTTTGGCCGCATTCACCATTCTTTTTCAAAGCTCAATGTTCAAGTTTTGTGCGATCGTTGGTCTTTAATGCAAATCTTAGATGAACAAGTAAGAGTTACTGGTATACAGCCTTTCCTTTTTACAGCTTATGTTTCACAAACAGATACATATGTGATGCCTACCATGATGTTCTTTCCATATTGTGTGCTTTTCCCATTGTAATGTAATGGGATTTGGTCTTTCTTCAGTTTCAGTTTTTCACTCAACTATAATTGTCCCTCAGTTGTTCTGGAGAAATCTTAAAGCAAAAATCAAAAATAAAACACTGCCATCACCAGAGCTACCTTAATTTGCTTTAGTAATTCCAGTTTCGAAAGGGCACTGTAGCTATGTTTCTGGCTGACATTGAGCACAGCACATGGCATGCCGAACATGAATGCAGAAAAAAGAAGTTAACTTGGCTCTAGTAAAGCTCATTAGTCAATGAGCTCTGATATAAGCCACATCCATGTCTCTTATTTCAGTAGAAGATGAAATATCCCCTCAAGTCTTTAGTCATGAAGCTTTCTTTAGGTGTTAATGAACTGTGGTATGTTGCATTTGGCTTGTATGTTTATGGTCTTCATTAAATAGAGAAATCCTTCTGACACCAGCAATTGGCAGAAGTTTCACATGTATATTTTGTATTAAAAAAAACCACACATGTTGATCTGCTAAAAAAAAATGCCTCAGTGATGCTTTCCATAAACTTTCAGTGCAAGAACTACAATATCTTTCATAAATCTGAAGCTTAAAAGGAAATTGCAGTCTAGTCTGATGAAGCATGGAAAGAAAGAAAAAAAAAGCTCTGTACTGAAGCATCTCAGGCATTGTATATGTCAGAGAAAGCCAAAATACTGTTATCTACAGATCAGATTTTTAAACTCTCTGGATGAGGTGAAACTCTTCCCTGGGCTAATCTGGTGTACTTGCTGCTTCAAAATGAGTAAGCGCTGCTGTTGCTTTCTGTTGGCCACCAGCATGTTAAAAAACGTACATGTTAACCACAGAGTGCCGTGTGGCTGGTGCATTATCATGCTCATGTACAGCAGCGCATGACGAGTTCCATGGAGCAGCTGGAGCTCTGGAGTAGGTGGAGGAACCATACATTCTCCTGCCAGAATTGGCTTGTGTACATTGGTGCATTGAGCTTAGATTGTAAAAGCAGGCCACTTGAGCAAAGTTTGAAAACTGCATGAGAATTAGATACACGTGTCACTTGTTCTGTACGCGTGTGCTTAGATATCAGATATAAATGGCTTTGTCTTCCCTTTTTACATACATCATTTTTATATTGGCATTCCCTGTTATGTGAAACAGGTGCTACCCACACTGAGCCCTTGGATTATAGTGGGGTATAATTCAGGGTTGAGTAATGAATTGAAAGAACCATTCAAGAATGGTAAAAATTGTTTTTTTTCCCCAAGGATTGATGCAATAGCAGGGCTGAAACCCAGTCATTTATTTGCTGCTGTTGTTGAATATGTTCTGAACACCTCACATTTATTACTCTTTTGGTATCCCAGAGTAAAGACTGTGATCTGGCGTGGTGTGTTAGGAGTATGTAGAAGCACTTTCCCCATTATGGGTATGAAATAGCTATGCTGTGTGATTCAGTGCAGATGCTTTCAGATGTGTACTTAAAGCACCTGTGCTCTGATTAATTCTATTCCTTGTTACATACCTGCTGGTTTTTAATGTTATTTTAGAAGTAAGAAAACAAGGAGTGAGAGCCCCTGTTTTGATGCAGCTTTCCTAACAACAGTATTCTGGGTAAGACATGCAATTTGCCTAATCAAGATAAGTGTGCCCCTAGTTTACCTTCCCAGTGTGCCTTGTGGTGAAGGGGCAAAGGACTGCTGTTGATCATTAAGGCCAAGAAGACATCTCTAGGTTTGCATCCTAGTCAATTCCTTTGTGGAAAGACTTAATTTCAGCTATGCTGAAATTACCAAGACTGAGAATTCTCCCTAACCATCTGCATGTGATTAGTATCCCAGAAGGACACATTTGTTCACATGAAATGTGTTGGTGTGCTGCAGCGGTCAAGAGGCTTCAGTCCCCCTGCTACCCGAGTTCTAACTCTCATGGGAAGAGAAAGAGTTTGTTGCTGTTCAGAACTTGTGCTGATCAGGTGAATTGAAGGATATGTCCAGAGAGAAGACGGCTTCAGCAGAGATCATCCTGTGTGAATTCGCATGTATCTAGGCTGGCTCTTCTTTCCTACTCAGAAGCCCTGTTGAGATGGGCTCATGTGCCGGAGGAAGCGGCAAGCCGTTTCTTCCCTTTGTTTCCCCTGGCGATAGGAATGTTCAGTGGCCTGGGCGAGTGCCCAGTCTCCCCGTTCTCTGGAGCCCTTTTTGGGAAGCGCCTCGGGTTGTATTATATGCATGCTCTCTGCAAGTGAAGGAAGGCCATGCATCTTTTCCAGGCACTCCGAGTGCACCTGTGCGGGTGGTCTGACTGCCACAAATAATGGTTACAGTGGGACTTGTGGGACCTCAAGTAAGTGTTTTCTTGAGAAGAACTCAGTTCAGATTTGGGGCAGACAGATGAAGGGGTGGCAAGCCCGGGCCGCGTGCTTTGTCTCCTGAAGTTTAAATGGCATGGGCAAAGCGGAATCGGCCAGCTAGATGTCCTTCCAGGGCAGGTGCTGCCGTTGCTCTGCCCATCCTTGTCCATGCAGCACTTCTCTCTCCTCCGGGAGTACACTGTGCTGCAGTGGCTGGAACCGGACTGTCCCCGTGGGAGTGATGCAGCTCCTTGACCCCTTCTGCACCAGGGCGTCAAGGTGTCTGCTGTAGTGTTAATATACTACAGCCTGTTTTTGTTGTTCAAGCTCAGTGAGCCAAAACTAGATTCTCAAGGAGAAATAAATTTGAATTATTGAAAGAATGCTTGCTTGCTTTCACTAGTTAGCTAAAAAGCTCCCAGGGTAGCTTACAAAGATCAGTAGGAATTCCTATGATTGCTAAGCAAGCTTCTCTCTTGTTGTAGCTGCTTCCGTGGTGGATTCATTTGAAGTGCAGGGACACAGGTCTTGTAGAAGCATTTAAAAAGGACCCTCTGGAACAAGCCTGATCTCTCCCTCAAGCAGAAGAGATGGCTTTCCTGCAAATCCATTGAAGGAACACTAGCAGGGGTACTGCAGGAGCACTAGCAGGTGAAAATCCTTTGCCCTCCTCTACGACAACCAGAGTGGAGGGCTGGTAAAAACGTCCTTTCAGAGACAGTTACCAGAACTCCCTTGGACTTCTCTCACAGACCTCTAGTTCCTGCCACAGATGAAAGCGGTTAGATTGGCAGCCAGGGAAATGGAAGAAGCAATTGGGTGGACAGGTGATGTAGCCGTCTTACGATGGCAAGCACCGAATACGGAGCAAGGTTCTGTATCAAACAGACCAGGGGGTGGGGGGGTTGTCCAGGAGTCAGCCAAGGAGTTAGGATATGTGCCAGTTTTTCTAGAATTCAAGCAAGTGCCAAATATCTGTGAAGGTACGAAGAAATGTTAACATGTCCTGTTTGGGCTTCTGGAAAAGGACAACACTCCTTTCAGGAGCAGGCAGCCTCTCCCAGGTATGGTCTTGGAGCTTTCTCGGTTTCTTTTTCTGCATGTTGGAGGCTCTAAGCAGGTATATGGGCCTCAAACCATTAACAATGGACTGTTCTCTGCCACTGTAGCTTTATTACCTCGGGGCGATGACAGAGGTCTGAAAGTCACGTGCCTGAAGATCCCAGCATCCAGATCCAGGTGCTGTGCTCCCAGTACCACTGAGGCAGTTGGCCAGAAGGTGGAGCTGAGAGCATTTTAAGACATTCCTGCTGCTCGTGGGCTCAGCCAAAGAGACTGTCAAGGGGCCTTTCCTCTCAGAACATCGCTCTGCCTTGCATTTTGGACAGGCTCCTGCAGGCAAATGCTGCTTTTGCTTTAGCAGTGCTTTCCTGCAACCTTCTGCCGTGCTGCGCTATGTCAGAGACAGTTGTCACATAGGCAAGATAATGATTTCTTCAAGCTAAGAGTAGCATTTTCTTTCCAGTAAATGCAAATTTTGGCGTGGAGTTGCGCAGTGTATTCTTAATTTTCATTTCTGTTCTTTGATGCTTGCTAGTCAGCATGTCTATGACCACAACACAGTTTTGTGTAAGATGCAAATAGGAGGCACCCTCCCCCTGGCCCAGCATTTTTCTTGCAGTTCGGTTTAGGGGTCTTTATTTTGAACCATTTTCTCTGTCATGATCTTATTCAATTGGTAAGTTCTGTAGGGCAGGTTAAATGGAGAATATTTGGCCTTCATCCACTCCTGTCCTTAGGTTTGTCTATGGTCTTTGTGATGATTGCTTATGTTTTGTTGTGTTGTTTTTCTCTCTTGTGAGTGAGTGATCTTGTGACCCCAAGACACTGTCTTAGGGGCCTTAGAATTTTTGGATTCCTGGGTTTGAGGTCAGAAGCTGCACTTCAACTTGAACATAAGGCTCAGAGCTGTGATCCCTTCCTCTGTCCCTTTGCAGCCAGCATGGGGAGAATAGCACTATCGCTCCACAACGGAGAAACCAGCCTTGCTCAGAAGTGGGAGGGGAGGAGACAAAAATGGCAGTCTAGCAAAAGTGGCTCCGCTGCATCAGATCATTGTGACCTTCTGAGTCTGCAGGGTTCTGGCCTAAGCGGCTTTGTTTATAAACTGAAAA